TTGCTCATGTAAGTAATGTCTTGTAAAATTTGGTGCTGTCATGAACACAATTTCTTATTCCTGTTAGATTTCTGAAACTAAAAGCAGTTCTGATGCTGCACATGAGTTCCCTGCACAAAAACCTAGTGATTTCTTTTTGATTTCTCTTAGATTCTGACCATTCCTACGTGTTCCCTGAGAGGCGACGGAGGAGCAGCAGGTTGGGTAATGAAGAGTCCAGTACTCCGAGAAAAAAGACAGAAGAATTCAATTCTGGTAAGATGAAAATTCAAGAGTATTTCATCACCTTTTCATTTATGAAAAGGTTTTCTGTAGTTTTAGTGCAAGCCTTCATTTAAGAGCTCTGGTCTCTGTGTAGATGAATTGCAGCAGTATAATCATCATCATAGGCTGCCTGTGTTGTTTTTTCTTATTTGTTATTTTGATGATGAAATTAGATGCACAGGAAGTTGGGATTTTTTGGTTGTGTTCTTTCCTGATCCCTTCTATTGGGTTCTCCACAGAAATGCATCCATGTGTTTCTCTTTAGTCTGGTTAAAGATGCTTCACCTGGGATGTTTTGTGTACCTCTCCTTTATCCTGTGGTTTGGTTTTGTTTTGGTTTAGGGACATGTTAATCTGTTTTATAAAATTCTGTGCAGTCTGAAGTATATTTTTTACTTTATAGTTTGAAGGCAGCCAGCAGAGTTCTGATATCAGTGAAGGAAAAGATGTGGAAATAAAGTTATAGCATTTCAGATGTGTTGTTTTGCTTATAAATTACCATCCTTGGATATGTTTCACAGAAATATTTGGAAAGATGTAGCCTAATTTGAATGGTAAATTTTATCCAACAACTCTCTTTTCATATTTCCACCAGGTTGGCTTTTTTTATTTTTGCTTTGTTTTGCTTTTAATCACCCAAATCACACCACTCTGGGCCTTGCTATAAGGAAATTGTGATGGTAGTCATCATTATTTTAAGTCATGAAAGGCAAATCACCCAAAGTTTAGTGGTTTGGCAGGGTGAGAACAGTCCATCATTGTCCTGCTGGCTTTGCTCTGAGCCCGTGGCTCTCCAACCTGAGCTGTGAGCTTTTCAGGGCAGGTTTTGCTAGCAGCAGTGCTCTTTCTTGCAAATGGCATTAGTTTTTTTTGGAAGGTAGATATCACCATAGTTAGGGATTACCATTACATGAAATTCAGCAGCAATTCTTCTGATAAAGGAAAATGAATTTCATTGCCTGTGCTGGCTGCAGTATTAACTGAATTTATTGGAGAAAAGAAATCTAGGTGGTTTGTTTTCCTCAGCGTAATGCCATGTGCTTTATACCTGACTGTGAGGAGGGAGTGTGAGGAAGGGGAAGTGTGGTAGGAAATGACCTGGACTCTGACTGTGCCTTGGTTTTGACTAGAATTTTATAGCTAGAAGGGCTGAATGTGGACCTTTGAGTCAGACTAAAGCTTTGTAACACCCCTTTTTTCTGAGATCTGTTGGTTTTTACATGTTTCTGTGAGAGAAGTGTGGAGAGTTGCACGTGGTTTTGCTGAATAGTGTGAGATGAGGGTCCATGGTGATGCTGGGTCCCCAGGCAGGAGCAGAGGTGAAACTCTTCACTGTAAAAACCCATCTTTTTTAAGCAGTCAGCTGGTTATCATTTACATACTTTGAGTATGTGTAATCTTCACCTCCTTGCCTTTGTCTGGAATTGCTCAAAGACTCATGGTAAATATATCATTGCTTCTGTTTTTGTTGCCTACTGTCAATGCAAGGGGTTCATTGACAATGTTGGTTTAGGTTCAAAGGCATGGAGTGTTTGGTTAAAAATCTTGTCCATGTCTATCATTCAACTGTCCAGTTTTTCCCTTTCAGATTCCTCCCAGCATGACTCATCAGAAGGAAGTGAGGTTTCTGAGGCTGACCTCACTAGTGAAGGTCAGTTCCCCAGGTCACTGATTTCATTTCGTTGGCCATTTTTCCATCTAAACTGTGTTTTCCAAAGCCTACATTACTTGGCACTGAATGAAGAGAATTGTGTGCTGGTGTTGAGTGGAGTTTGGATTGTGCACTGCTTGGTAAATGAACATGGTGGAGAAGTATTAGAGAACCACAATATACTGAAGGAGATTGGACTTGTTGGGCTGGTTTTGAGGTGATGCCTGACAGCAATTTGTATCTTTTGCATAATCTTCAGGTGTTGTTAATGAAAAATACTCATTGAATGGACAAGATAATTATCATTTCTTCATTCTGGAGAACACATTGCTTTATAAACACACTGCAGTTAGATGTAACATTTGTAGTTAATAAATGCATCTGGGAGGAATGGCACCAGGACAGAAAGGCAGTGTTGTAGAGGAGCCTCAAGGTGTCTGTCTGATATTGGTGACTGTGAGATCCAAACCTTTGCAGAGAGCAGCTCCCTTTGCCATCCAAGTGGCTCCAAAGCTGCTGAGCAGTGTCCCTGCAGTTCTCATGCTGGGATGTTGGTAGGAGGTGCTCTGTGTTTCTTGTATTTGTGAATGAGTGTCCTGGAGCTGCTTTAAAGCACTGCTGAGATTGGCTTTTGCAGAGCTTGCTTGTGGAATTATGTTAGGAGCACCCAATCGGCAAGTTAGAAAGTAGGCAGAGCATTTGTGAGAAAGTGGGCACTTCTGGCCATAATTTCACTGTTTTACAATGCAGCATGGAAATAACTCCACTATTACCTCAACAGAAAGGTTTATATGAGAAGAGTCAATAAGTATAATAATAAAAAACAAAAGTTGCTTTCTTTTGAGATCTACTAGTGGAATGGTCTTATTTCCAGGTAGATAACACATGTAGTCTCTATATGCACAATTAATTCTGTGATTCCTTTTGCTGTCGCATGATGGTTTTATGATCACACAACGCCCAGTCATGTTTCAGAAGACAATGTTGTTTTCCTTAGCAAGTACAGAAGCAGTTTTGTTTTTTGCTCTCTTGTGCTTTGCACAGGCCCTTTTGAAGGAACAAATTGTTCCTTCACAGGTAGGAACAGGAGCTTTCTGAAGTCACTCAGTTAAGTAATTTGTTAAAAATTTGGTGCCATGGTAATCACAGTTTCTTAATTCTGGTAAAGTTCTGAAATTCAAAGCAGTTCTAGTGCTACACTCTAGTTCCCTGAACAAAAAAACAGTGATTTTGTTTTTGTCTGTTTAAGATAATGATGATGACTACATGCCCAGTGAGAGGAGACAGAGGAGCCCCAAGTCAGCCAGCGACTCAGGCAGTAGTGTGAGAAGAAAAGGAATAAGGTTCAATTTTGGTGAGATGAAAATTCAAGATGATTATGTTTCTCTGCTGTGTTTATGAAAATGTTTTGGGAAATTTTGTAGTGCAGGAGTGAGACATATTAGTTCAAGCCTTCATTTATAGTCCTGGTCTCTGTTTAGGTGTACTGCATCAATGTAATCATCATCACAGGCTGCCTCTGTTGTTTTTTTGTTATTTGATGTGACAGTGTGATTGGAGGCACAGGTTTGGATTTGGATAAATTTCTTTTTTGCAGCTGTGTTTTCTGTCAGAAATAGGATTTCTGGGGGTATTTTGCAACACCAGGACTTGGAGAAATACTGGATTAAAGTAGAGAAGGCCAGATGCCTCCTGATCCATGTAGTTGTACAGGTTTCCACCAAAACAGCTCCATGTACTTTCTGTAACCTTTATCAAGCTTTTGAGCACTCAAATCTAGGTAACTGTCAACAGCACCTATGATCTGCCTTTATCTCTGGAGGCTGCAAGAGCTGATGACTGAGTCACCAAAGAGAGAAATCATTTTTGGCAGTTATTTAACCTGGTTTTTGTTGTGTTTTTTTTTTACCTTCATTTAATATACATCTTTTGGAAGTAATCTTTAACATTTTATTTTGTATTTTTCTTTCTTTTTAATGTATCCATACATTTTAAGGTGTAGCCTGTACTGTACTCAGGAGGCACCTGTTTGCAAGTAAAAGTACACAATTCATATTTCATTTAGTGGTAACACAGATTTTACAAGATTCTCAGTTTTGTTTGTAGTCTGACATGTCCTCCTCTTTTCTTTGCAGACAAATGGAATACACGAATTACAGACTTGAGAAAGGAAGTTGAAGTGCTGTTTGAATTAAAATATGGTATGTGTCACACACCTTTCCAAGCCATTGCCTGTAGTCCTTTGTCACAGCAAGTGACAGACTGCTCTTTGGCATGCATCTTGTTCTTGGCTCAGGAGCACACCAGAACTGACAGCACCAAAGGGCTAAATACTGTTAGAAGACATAAAATTGAGAAAAGTAGCTTTTTTGATGAACAGAGTAATTTCAAAATGGGATATCTGTATTTGGCACCAAAGTGGGAAGCTTGATTTTATTTTTCAGTTGTGCTCAGTCTCCTGGAGCACCTGCATGCTCAAATTTCTTGGGCACCCACATTTGAGAGAGTTGCCCTTTCTCTGCAATTACACTGAGTCTTTAGGTGAAAGAGTCTTTAGAGTGGCACTGAAGAGAGGCTGCCACTCACTGGTTGTTCATTTTTGATTATGAGTGTTTTACAGTGAAGCAAAAATTATATATCCTAATGGCTCTTGGAAAGAAAAAGCAGCAGATGTGTTAGACTTCGGAATTTGTCTCCAACTGTTGCACTTAGATATGTTTTGTGTCCACATATCACAAACTACAACAGCATCAGTAAAGATTTAAAAATAAATGCTGGTGTGCCTCTGCCACGAAAAGTGGAAGTGCTTTCAGAATAGCCCTTGGGATTTGCAGTTACTGCATGTTTGGGATGTGCCCATCATCTGACATTCAAACACCCCACTGAAAGCAACTTGCACCAAGGCAACACAGTTCAGAATCTGATTCACTGTATGTTCATTGCTCTGGAAAGGAGCATCATTCTTAGTGAAATGCTTTAATTTTTATTTTGATGTTTGCACGTAGCAAAGTCGGTTGAAGAAAATTAAGTTGGTTTAAGACAATTTAAGAGATAGACACTATGGAATGAGTTGCTTCCCATTATGGTATTAACTAATCACTTTCCATCAATACTACACTTACTAGTAGGTGTTGTGAAACCATAACAGTCTAATTACAAGCAAAGCAGCAATGGGCAAAAAATAAGTGTAAATAATCACTAAAGACAAAATTGCTAAATGTCTGGAAGTCCATGGCAGCAATGGGAAGTCCAGAATGGTGGGGTATGGCCCATCCCCCCTTCCCAAGTTGCTAGTTACTTGCTTTTCATTTGTTTCAAAGATTTCATTAGGAGGGCCGTGCTTTTTTCAGCAGTGGTAGAAGTGTATTTTTTATTTCCTTAGTGGTTCTTTGGATTTCTAAAATACGCAGTAACTTCAGGAATTCACTGAAAAGAATGGATGTGTGCCCCTACTCCAAGGCATTAATGACTTGTAAGCCAGTAGTAGTAACAAATGATAACAGAGCTAGAAACTGAAC